CCTCAATGCTGCTCCTGCATGTTAGAGTATTCGATTTCGGTATAATCTGTCAGGTTCTCCGATGCGTGGCTTTGTCCGCAATAGCACCGTATCCTTTGAATAACACAAGAAGTCTCCTGCAGTGTTCTCATCGTCTGTTGATTGCCTGAAGCCAGTTGGCAACTCCAACTTCGAGCAGCGTGGGAAGACAGCTGGAAACATCCGATAAGTTCTTCGTCTACGGGATAAGTTTGAGCCGGCTGGGTTTCTTTACTCATATCCTTTGCTTACAGACTGATTGACAATGTTGCGTGAGAAACCATTCGTATTCAACACCCGTCGAATACTTCGTAATTCAGTGACCTAATACTAATGCCAGCGACTGCAACCGCCTTAATAATGAATTAGGGAAGGAGCGAGCCTATTGGCGTACCTATAATCCGCTGGTATATTGTCACGTCAAACTTACTGTAGGTCTTGAACATAAACATCACGAGTAAAATAATTTGCACATGTCCTAGTCATTTTTGGTAATAGATACCTCTGTTGTTCAGTGTCTCGTTCGTATTAGCTGACGTTGTTGAGAGAATAGTACGCAGTATTCAATGCCTGTTAATGCACGATTCGGTCAAAATATTGGCCCGAAAAACGAAGCGGTTTTTTTTTCTTAGTTGGGCAACAGCCAATAGTCCAAATTTGGCCACATGCAAATGTGTTTCCCATCCCTGGTCTGTTCATGGAAACTTGGGGTAAGTGGAATCTCCCTTTTTATGCCAAATGGTTGTCGGCTGGGCGCGTAGAGGCTAGTGTTCCCGTTCGAGCACAATATACTACATTGCAACTTCCACAGAGAATCCTGTAAATGATTTCTTGTCTGTCCATTAATGGCCTTGATTTCAGCACTGCTGTTGATACACAGAGTGAAGATTACTCGAAAAGTTGGCTGTTATCGCCGGGAGTCCTGGTCGTCCGCATCTACCCGCATGCTTTATATCGTTGTTTAGACAAAATCACAACACCTAATATGCAAGTGTAAGGTCACTGTGTTTGTCACTCGATAGTGGGCCAGAGATATATGAATAAGCGGACCACGGGATTGCCATCTCTTGCAAGAATTTGAGCAACGTCAAACTTGAAGTTGTGGCTGGGTCTCATCGAATGAACCGCGATCTGGGAGCTAGTGCCCTTCTTCCTTACTGCTGCTGTTGCATGTTCGAGTATTCGCTTTCGGTAAATCTTTTTAGCTTCTTTAATGCATTTCTCTGTCCAAAATTGCAACAGTTCCTGCAAACTAATCGAGACGTTTCCTGAGTGAGGCTATTGGCATGCCGTTAATCCGCTCGTAGATTGTCCCGTAAAACATAATGTTTTTCTTGACAGTAAGCATCCGAAGTTAAGGGATTGGAACGTGCCCAACATTAATCTCCGAATCGTCATATTTGTCTTGTGGGGGTAATTCGATGGCCACCAGTTTCATATCTTGCGATTAAGAAGAAGAACAAAGCTGTTTCAATACCATTCCCGTTGGAAACAGCTAGTAGCCTTCATCACCAAGCTAACATGCTTACGCAGTTTAATTGCATTTTACTAGACGCCACAAACACCTACAAGCACAGGGGGTCGGGGGCGGCCCGTGCCATAACCTCATTGATTTCAGATGGGCGTTTCATACTGTATGCGAGGTGTATATTAAGCTCGAGAAATAAATCGAAGAAATTCATATATCTTTGTCAGGAGCGTTTAGTGAAAACATAATAAATGCTTTTTGTGTTTATATTTGTCGTGAATTACTTTCTGACTTGATATAGATTAGTATGGTACAGGTGACACGAATATTTGGATCGATTTCCACCACTGACTGCGGGATAATCATGAAATATTCACTATCTACTAACAGACACTCAGTAGAATAACTTATAAAATTATTTAAAATACTGGCAGACCTGGTGCTAAAAGCCCAGGTGCCTGCTTCACGTGTATTATGTCGCTGCATGGCGCAGCTGCGATGTGGTCGGTGGTTAGTCCACAGTATCTTCGACCCAGATGTGGAAACTAAAGTTCTGACTGCGCAACAGGGTTTGCAGCGGATTCGGTGATATTGTCGTATGTTTCGCAGCTAA